CCACATGGGTGTTATGTATATATACACATATATTTGCATATATAGAAAGACAGTTAGGACATGCAATAATGCGTCGGGCTTCATGTCTCCCTGGCGGTGCTGTGTGCGAAACCTTCGTGAATCCTAAGGGCTCAAGCTGCCCCACTAAGGGCTCAAGATGACCCACAGACGGACAACATGGAACATACGTGCGCACACGCACACACATAAGTACATATATATATATATATATATAGCAGCAATCGTGGATGCTGTGCTGCGCTATGCTATGCTATGCTATGCTCTGCTATGCTATGCTATGTTATGCTGTGCAATGCTATGCTGGGCTAGGTTAGGCTAGGCTATGCTATGCTATGCTATGCTATGCTGCGCTATGCTATGCTGCGCTATGCTATGCTATGATATGCTATGCTATGCTATGATATGCTATGCTATGCTATGCTATGCTATGCGTTTGCTTTGCCTTCGCTTTTGCCTTCACTTTTGGCTTTGCTGTTGCCTTTGCTTGGCACCCAGGGAGCGCAACTGCGGGAACCGCGCGTTTGTTTGTACCTTTGCTGTTGCTTTTGCTTGGCTCCCAGAGGACTGGGGGAACCGCCCGGGGCGGTTTGCACTGCCCAGCCCCTTTAAGCCAAGCGAGTAAGAACCCTTTTAGGCAGAGCCTAGGTAGGGAATAAATCGTGAGGACATCCACAGCGAGAGCGTGATTCCTGAGTGTCGAGAGCGCGGCGTCTGACAAAAAAATATAAGGAAATCCCACGCGAAAGTGTTTCCTACACCAATTGGGAGGACGTCCCGCGCGAGAGCGCCATTTGGGAATAACTTGTGAGGCAGTATCACGCGGGAGCCGTTATTGTTGTTGTTGTAACTCGGGGCCTAGCAACCCTGTTTGGTGACATCACGCTTCCCCTTTGTAAAAATCATGGTGCGAGCCCCGCGAGAAGCACTTCAATTGAAAGGAGTGTCGTTCCAACGGGTTTTTGTTCGGGGGTGTGGAGCAAACAGAGTCAGAGGGTCGCTCATAGTCTTCCCTCCCTGATCCCACCCTGCGCTCCCCCCCTCCCCATTCTCTGTGCGTGCCCGCCTCTGCGAACGTCCGAGGTGAGCTGTTCGATTTGAGTCTGGCAATAACACAAGCACTGCGAGGGTCCTGTAGATATGAGACTTAAACCACAAGAACAACAACAGCAGCAGCAGCAACAACAACAGCATCATGTTGAGACTGTTCGCTCCGATCTGCTCGCGTGCCACTCAACACGTATACCCCGAACCTTCGGTGCCCACCCTCTTCGTCTTCGATCGTACCCCCACTAGGCACGTGTCCTTCTCACCTGCAACGTGTATTTCGTGCAGCCCCTAAGGCAGGGGATTAGAGGACGGACGGAAGGGGGAGGGAGAAGGATGGAGCACGAGAGAAAATAGCAGGAGGGGGGCGTACCAGGAGCAGAGAACGCGTGGCAGAAGCAGACGCGCAGATCGGGCGCGCAGACCCTAGCGGGCGGGTCGGGAAGGCGGGCCCAGGCGGCCAGGTCGAGCAGGCGGGTTGCTGCAGCGTGCGTCCTGCATGAAGCGCGAGGGCGTCTCGAGCGATGGCGCGATTCCCAAATAGATCGTGAGGAAATCCGTGGCGAGAGCGTGATTCCCGAGTGTCAAGGGCGCGGCGTCTGAATAGATTGCAAAGAAGTCCCACGCGAGAGCGCGATTCCTGCAGAACTTGTGATGAAGTCCCGCGCGAGAGCGCAACTTGGGAATGAAGCGTGAGGAAGTACCAGGTGGGCGCCGTTGTTGTTGCAGTTCGGGGCCCAACAGCGCAGTTTGGTGACCCCTCGCTTTCCCTTGTGAACAACAGAATGCGAGCCCGGGAGAAGCACTGCACTTGAAAAAATACAGGTGGTTACCGGAGTGGGGGATAACAACAACAACAACAACAACAACAACAACAACAACAACAACAACAACAACAACAACAACAACAACAACAACAACAACAACAACAACAATCACTTTACCCGAACGCTCAGTGTTCTCACCAGTGCCAGGGTTTTCATGCGACGCCAGCCAATACCCCCACTTTGTGGGGGGGCAGTGCAAGCTCTACCAAATATCCACACGACTCTTCGCCACCACCCACACCCAGCTTCCCGCCCTATGACGTTCGGACACTTCACTTCGTGGCCTGCGGACGACCGTGGCTACTACACTGGCGTGGAGTACACACCCACAGAAGTTGTTAAGCCTACGTTCGTACACCCACAGAAGTTGTTAAGCCTTGTTAACCCACAGAAGTTGTTAAGCCTTCCACAGAACATCTGTTGCATATGATGCATATGGTACATGATACACATGATACACATGATACGTACTCACAAGATAGTTGATCACATCTTTAGGGCAAATTCCTGAGGGATGTGGGAATACACAAGAGAGAGAGGATATGGTTGTCCCGATGGTTGTCTCGATGGTTGTCCCGATGGTTGTCCTGATGGTTGTGGTTGTCCCGATCGTTGTCCCGATGATTGTCCCGATGGTTGTCCTGATGGTTGTGCTTGTCCCGATCGTTGTCCCGATGACTGTCCCGATGATTGTCCCGATGGTTGTCCCGATGGTTGTTCCGATGGTTGTCCCGATGGTTGTCCCGATGGTTGTGAGCGATGCCGGATCCTCACGCCCCCCGCCGGAGGAGGAGGAGGAGGAGGAGCAGGACAAGGAGGAAAGGAGAGAAGAGAGAGGAGGGGCGGGAACGGCGCTTGCACGCCCACCCCCGTTGCAAGAGCGTGCGAAAGTAGCTCGCGCGAGCTCATGTAACATAAATGTTGGAAAACCATTGGTTTTTTTAGGATTCGGACAGCGCGCGCGGGTAGAAATTTTGAAAAGTCGTGCAGGTGTTTTTCGAGGACCTACGGTGCGATTCGTGTGATTTTATGATGCGCGGTGCTAAAATTCTTAAGAAGCCCAATGGTTTTTGGAGATTTCGGCGTGCGCGCGCGAAGAAAAAACGAATGTGTCCCGCATGGTATTATTTGACAGGGATGATGGCCCTGGCAGGTGCGCAACCGTTGTCGCAGAAGTTCGAAAAAGTTGCTCGCAAAAGCCCGTTTGACAGAAATGTTTAAAAAGTGTTGGGTTTCCTACGAATCCGCAAGAGCGCGCGGGATGAGATTTTGACAATTTTTTGTTGAAAAACCATTGGTTTTTTGATGTTTTTATGTTAAAATCGCTGCGAACACTAAGGTTTTGGAAGGATTTCGTCTTGCGCGCGCGAATGTCCACTTTACCTTATTTTTTGCAAGGGATTCTTGAAATTTGATTATATTAGAACAAGAAATGTCATTTTCTATTGTTTTTTGCAAGGGAAAGCGGATTACAACAAAACAACCGGATCCTGTACACACCCTCTTTTCTGAGGCTTCCTCACGAAAATGATGAAAATGTAGCTGCGGCCTAGGCGGCGCAGGGGGGGCGCGCACCAGGGGGCCCAACAATAATTATTCTTTAGAATAAATAATGTTCAACAACAACAACAACAACAACAACAACAACAACGACGACGACGACGACGACGACGACGACGACGACGACGACGACGAGGAGGAGGAGGAGGAGGATGATGATGATGATGATGATGATGCGGAACTCCGCGGCTCAAACGTGCTAAAAACGCGGATGGCACCGAACGAGGGGTGAAGGGCAGCCCCCAGTACTTATCGGACTCCCCCTCTGGAAGGGACCCAGAGACACACAAATCAATATACACAAATCCCAGGAGTCCCCATATTTTCTCATATGTTTTTAATTTTCGTCTTCCCCCCCACTTCCCATATTTTCCCGTCTTTTCATTGAAATCGGCGATGACTTGTGTCTGTGTGTGTTTCACTCCTGGCTATCATTCACCCCCCCAGACGGGGCGGTCGACTGTGAGGGGATAGCACAAGGGCGTGATCAGAATACCAGCTGCACGCAACCGGTTTGCCCTCGCGCCGCCCGGCGCCGAGTGCGACCGTGAATCAAAGAACATGCCTAGTAGCGGAGCCAAAAACCAGCCGCGAGAATCAGCTTCCGTGCAACCCCCCGCGGTCCCAATTCGCCCCCCTCCCTTTCGTCCGACCCAGCCCTCCATTGAGGGGGAACGATAGGTGAGACCAGCTCAGGGGGAGACATCAAGCCTGAATCAGCGATACATCGCCGATTGTTCGCCGATACGCCCCAAATAGCGACATCGCATGTTCCCGGGCTGGGTGGGCCTCAGGCCCCTATCGGCGATGAATGGGCGATTGGGGGTCGACGCATCCCCCAATGAGCCTATCCCCCCCCCACGTTGCCCCTGATCTGTCCCCCTGCTCTTCTGAGGCTCAGACCGCCCTCCTCCCTCGCCTTCCACGCCCCTGCTTCCAGCGCTGCTGTCGCCACCCTCGGGCACGCGCTAACATGGATTAGGAATACGTGGATCCTGCGCGTGGGCACCAGAGCCACGCATCGGGGCGAAACACTTTTCTGGTTCGTGCAACCAGTGCCGCCTCATCTGGCGACGCAGCGCGCCGACCCCGTACACCACGAGGCCCACCGCCAATCCGCGCGCCTCTGTCCGTGCTTGCGCTTCCGTGACGCCCGCCCTGCCTCCCTCGCCCCTCCCCTCCTCGCCCTCCCCCGCCCCTCCCTCTCCTCCCTCGCCCCTCCCGCGCTCCTCCCTCCCCGCCCTGCCGTCCACCTCCCCCGCCCCCTCCCCTCATCCCCCCGCTCGCCAGCCGCCCGCTGGCAGGCCCGACCCCTCGCCGCAAGCGGCCTCTGGTGCTCAGCCCTCGGGGGCGCGTCTCCGGGGGGGGGAAGCGGGGCGAGCCCCGGTCCTGCCGCGCCCCACGATCAGGGCACCCCGCGGGCCCTCACCAGGGGTCCCCCTCCGGCGAAGGGTGGCTCCTGCGTGCGGTCGACTCCTGCCCCGCATCCCCGAACCCCATGCCGCCGGCTGCCCGCATCCCCGCACAGGGCCCCGTGCCCAGCGGGACATGGCGGTCAGGAAGTACGCCAGCGCAAGCGACAGCGACATCGGGTCAAAGCCCACCGTGCTTGACATAAACCTCCAAGGCGCCTCATCCTTACCTATTGTCCTCCTCCTCCTCCTCCTCCTCCTCCTCCTCCTCATCCTCCTCCTCCTCCCTTCCTTTTCCCACTGTCGCACCCCGAGGCCATTCGGAAGGGCAGGCCAGACGTTTCGACTGAGATCTCCTTACAATGTATGAGGCATCGCTACCATCGTCCTCATCATGATCATCATCCTCATAATCCTCGTCGTCATCAAGATGCCCACCATGATCGCCACCACCAGCGACAACATCTGCATATACACACAGACACCGTCACCACCACCGCCACCATCATCATCGTTGGCATACTCAGCACTATCACAATACTCCTCCTTGTCTTGCCTGCTCCTGAGCATACAACTTGGATGGAATGCCTTGCCAGCAATAGCTGACCAGAGTAGAAACAGCACCACGCGTAGACCATGCTCAGGGAGATGACGATAATCTTGTAGAAGCGCTCCTCGCGCAGACGGCGCGGTGGCGGCGACGACCGCGACGCTGGAAACGATGGGATGGCGATGCGCTGGGTAAAGACGCGAGGGAGGGGAAGAGGGAGTAGAAGAAGGAGAGAGAAGAGAGGGAGGGCAGGGTAGGGGCGAGAAAAAAAGGAAGGCGAGGAGACGGAAAAGAGGAAGGGGGGATATGTGTATCAACAGACTATACATGCGTGGGAAAGAGAAAGGAAAAGATAGGGAGGGAACGAGGGAGGGAGGAAAGTAACGTGAGCACACTGACGGAGGCGAGGGACGTGTGAGAAGTGGTGTAGGGGATGAAAGGAGGGAGGGGATCATGATCTGGGCGAAGGACCCAGTCATACGCAGTTGCGAATACAACGCCTTAAGTAGACATGCTCAGGGGGGCACAAAACGTGTGAGGAGTGAGCAGAAATAGGCGGGACGATCGCGGGCTGCGCAACTGGGGTCATCGGTGGAGCTCCCTATGGGGCCACGCAACGTGTGAGGGGTGTGCCGAAATTGGTGGCGGGGACGCATGCGGGCTGCACCATTGGGGACTTCGGTGGGGCTGCCTATGGGGCCACCAAACGTGTGAGGGGTGTGCCGACATGGGTGGCGGGGGCGCATTCAAGCTGCGCCACTGGGACCTTCGGTGGAGCTCCCTCTGGGGCCACGAAACGTGTGATGGGTGTGCCGGAATGGGTGGCCAGGACGCATGTGGGCTGGGCTGGTGAGACCCTTGGTAGAGCTCCTATGGGGGCCACGAAACGTGTGAGGGGTGTGCTGGAATGGGCGGCGGGGACGCATGCGGGCTGCACCAGTGGGACCTTCGCTGCTCCTATGGGCCACGAATCGTGTGAGTGGTGCGTCAAAATGGGTGGCGGGGACGCATTCGGCCTTTGGTGGGGCTCCCTATTGGGCCGCGAAACGTGTGAGGGGTGTGCCGACATGGGTGGCGGGGACGCATGTGGGCACCGCAACTGGGGCCATCGGTGGAGCTCCCTATAGGGCCACGAAACGCTTGAGGGGTGTGCCGAAACCGGTGGCGGGGGCTGCGCCACAGGGGCCCTCGGTAGAGCTCCTATGGTGGTCACGAAACGTGTGAGGGATGTACCGACACAGAGGCATGCGGAGTGCAGAGGCACGGATGGGAGGAGGGAGGAGGGAGGAGGGAGAAGGAGAACGCGGGACGAGGACAACACCACAGGGTGGCTGGGAATGACTCAGGATGAAAACCGTTTCGGAAGGATTGGATCAGCATCGCCATCGTCGTCATCCGCACCGCCTCAGCAAAACCGATCCCTAGACCCCTCACGGGGTCCATCCTGGAAACTTCTTCACCCAGAACCCACGAGCAATAGGATCAGCGCCTGCGACCTCCTCGTGTCGCAAGAAAATCACGGGAGGCGTTTGGCTGTTCTCGGCCTCCAGGGGCCCTTGCTAGGCCCCGAGCCATCAGAACACGACCTGGGATGGAAAAACGGTCCAGGGAAAAGGTCCAGCCTCCCAGAACAAGTCACGACGTCGGAGGTCTTGGGCCCGGGGCCACTCTGGAGCGGCACGGGCTCGTCGAGCATGAGGAGGAGGAGGAGGAGGAGGAGGAGGAGGAGGAGGAGGAGGAGGAGGAGGAGGAGGAGGGGGAGAAGGCGGAGGTGGAGGAGGAGGAGGAAAAGGAGGAGGAGGAGGAGGAGGGGGAGGAGGAGGAGGAGGAGGAGGAGGAGGAGGAGGAGGAGGAGGAGGAGGCGATGCGACGTCGTGCACAATCCGCGGCCCCGAGGAGGCCCCGAGCCGCTTCGGCCGAGGGCTGTTGTGCTCCTCCTCCCGGGTCGGCCCTCGAGGGTCCAGGGGCCCTCTGGCGGGCCCCCCCCCGGAGCGACAGCGAGGAGGCAACCCAACGCAGCAAGAGCAGAAATCAGAACGCCCCCTGCCTGTCTACACCCTGCGAAATGCTGAAGAAATCATGGGTTAAGAAATTCATAGTCTCAGAACTTGCATAAGAACCCAACAGTTCCATTCAAATCTTAGGATGCGCATCGAAACATTAAGAATAATCGAGACTCTGGCCGAAAATTAAGTTTTCTTAAGCATCGCCTAAGGTGTACTGTTATCTTTGCGGCCTCAGGTCAGGTCAGGTGTGCCAGGCGCCTGCACGGCGCATCAGCAGGGCGAGAGTGCACGGCCAAACGCCGAGGGCACATGGGTTCGACCACACGCCGAAGGCGAATTGGGCTCGGCCAAACGCCGAGGGCGAGAAGGCTCGGCCAAACGCCGAGTCATGCAGCGCGTCGTTATGCAGCACTGCAGATGCTCTGCAGCAGCGCTCCACGACGCTCTCGTGCGACGCATCACGTGCGGCAGGGAGCCAAAAAAGGGAGAGACGGGCGCCGCGGCTCGAGGGAAAGGCGTCCCGTCGGGGATCCGAGGAGGAGGAGGAGGGAGGAGGAGGGAGGAGGAGGAGGAGGAGGAGGAGGAGGAGGGAGGAGGAGGAGGAGGAGGGGCCTCGGCCTCGCGGGCCGCTGCAGGACGAGGCGGGCGCCCGCCCGCCCGCAGCTCCCTCGCCCCCGTGAAACGCGCGGGGGCGGCGCACGCCTGCCGCTCTCCACGCCGATGGAACGCAGAGGGGGGGCACGCGGGTGGCGTATGCCCCCTGTGGATGCTCCCCCTCCTCCTCCCCCCTCCTCCTCCTCCTCCTCCTCCTCCTCCTCCCCCTCCTCCCCCTCCTCCCCCTCCTCCTCCTCCTCCTCCTCCTCCTCCTCCTCCTCCTCCTCCTCCTCCTCCTCCTCTCCTCCTCCTTCTCCTCCTCCTCCTCCTCCTCCTCCTCCTCCTCCTCCTCCTCCCCTCGATCTTTGGCGGCAATTCGGGAATGGACAGACCTCCCTTTAGTAAAACGAGGTTTAGTGAAAACGACCTGGGGCCCAAACCTGGCGGGCGCCTGGAAAAGAACGGCCGCGGGGCCATCTCGAGAGCCGAAAACGGACCAGTCACTAATCGACGTGTTACTGTTGGGGGTTCTGTCCGCCCCCGACGCACCAAGGGTCTTTGCGAGCGGGGCGCGGCCAGCGAAAGTGGCCAGGGGTGGGCCGAAGGGGCAAGGATGCAGGGGTGACCTTGGAAAGCCGCTCATACTTCTTATGAGGGTTGACTGTACCCAGGTGGTATGGCCAGAAAGCGTCCGCCACCTAGCATATACTATGATCTGTTGACAAGCGCGCTTCGCCGCTGCGGGGCGACGCGCACGTGTTCGATGTACGCGTCGGGCGGAAGAAGTCGGTAGAAACATAAAGTCGGAAGGCGGATTCAGTAGATTGGGCCCAGGCCCTCCCAGAGAGCCACAACACACAGCCAAAGCACGTCGACTCTTGCAGTAGGACGGCGATTGAAGTAGACTGGGATCTGGGAGTGCAAAAGTATCTACTTTTAGGTCGGGCGTGTCCCCCTACAAGCGGGTTTGGCAAGAAAATTAAAGGACCCTCCAAAAATACTCGAAGATGCTCAAATGGTCAAAAAAAAAACAAAAGATCGTCCCCGGACTATTTTGTTGACTATTTCTGAATACTCGTCCTGTAGAGGGGCGTGCCCGACTCAGACCTACCCTCTGAACGACCGACGGGCATGTCTGGGTGATATCGATGCCGCCCTCCGGCGCGCTGCCGGGGCACGTCGACCCCTGCAGCAGGAAAGGCGCCTGAAGCAGACTGGGTTCTGGGAGTGCACCATTTTTTTTTTAGGTTCAGCCCTGGGAGTGCACCAGGGCTGAGCCTAAACGGTGCTGTTCGTTGTCGTTTTGCTCTCGTGCTCCCTCGCTTCGTCTCCAGCCCGCCTGCACCGCACAACGAAGTCGAACCGAAAACGGCCCACAACCGAAGCGCAAAACGGAGTCGAACCGCAAAACGGAGTCGAACCGAAGTCGCCAAAAACACCGCTCAGGCCCAGCCCTGCAGCGCACGAGCACCCACCTTCTCCAACGACCCACGGGGCACGCCCCGGTGATGCCGAGGCCGCCCTCGGGCGCGCCGCCGAGGCACGTCGACCCCGTGGGGTGCCGAGGCCGCCCTCCGGCGCGCTGGCGAGGCGCCCCCGCCTCGGAGGCGCGCGGCGGGGGCGCGGCGGGGGCGCGGCGCCGCGCCTGGATCTGTACGCAGAGGGGCTTCGTCTCCTTCTCCTCCGCCGCGGGGGAGCGGGGAGCGGGGGAGCGGCCGGGGTGCGGGCGAGGCCCGGCGGCCGGAGAGGCGAGCGAGCGAAGGGGGGAGGGGGAGCGAGAGGGAGGCGGGAGAGGGAGGGAGGGAGAGAGAGAGAGAGCGAGAGAGCGAGAGAGGCAAGGAGTGACAGGAGAGCGCGAGGGAGGAGAGTGCGAGTCTGTATATGTGTGTGTGGGGATGTACGCAAACTCTAACACATGTTCAAGCACCAAGATGTTAGCCAGTCTGGACCCCAAACAGTTAGTTATTGCACTGTGGAGGTTCAAGACGAGTTGAGCGAGCCATGCGGCGTAAGCTATGTTATGTAGGCTTTGCGGTGCAAGCGGAGGAGGAGGACGAGGAAGAGGAGGAGGAGGAGGACAAGGTAAAGAGGGAGGGAGGAAGGGATTGAGGGACAAGGACTTATCGACTCAGCGAGCTCTATGCGGGTCTATATACCCGAAACGAGCTAAATCTGAGGCCCAACAGGCGACACCTGCGTGCAGTCGTGCCCGCACATGGCCAATGATCTCCCCGCTGGGACCTTGTGGACTACCCAGACGGCGGGTGGCTGCAGGTAGGCGAAGGGGAGGGGAAAGGCGGATAGAAACAAGTGGGAAGTCTCAAACTTGGCAGGGAGATGAATGCCAAGCCTCACCCAATGAGTCCGCAGCGAACTCCCTTCCTGTGGAAGAACACGACCTGACGCGCGCAGCGGTGAGAATTGGAGGTAAGACAGGGGGCGATCGGAGCCTGGCCGTGTACAAATGAGGCCGGCTGGGCCCCTGGTAAATAGAACGGGGGGCCGAACAAGTTGCAAATCAGGCTGGTCGGGCACCACTTCAGCTGGATGAAGAAACGCAGTGGAGATGAAGTGGCTCCAGCGTGGCCGAACTAACCAATAGTATAAGCCTGTCGGTCAGGCTGAGACGCATAACCTGGACGCGACAGAGTGTAAGTGATGACGCCTGGGCCCCTGTCTTCGTAGAGGATGCTCAGCAAAGGCCACTGTGGATCCGGCTCGCTGGAAAGACATCGATCTCCAGCGGGTGGAGGTAGGAAAAGGGAGGAAATAACAAAACCAGACCACGTACACGTGAGGCTGGTCGAGCACCTCGGCCATGCACGTTGGAAGTGGAGCAAGGAGGGGAACATATAGCCAGACTACCTCTGAATGAGAGTGGCCGGGCACCACGTCAAAACCTAAGTGAGAAAGAGGGATGCCACTGAGGAAAGAGAAGGCAACGTCAAGGAGGGAAACGCAGAGGGAGAGAATGGAGGAGGGAAATACCCAGCAAATGCGCCTGCGCCAATGCCTTGGAGCGTGCGCCACCGAATTCCACCGTTAGGCGCTCATTGGGCTGGCGCCGAACTACGACAAAAGTCCTCCCACTCTCGGAGGCGACGGGGGCGAGCCTGTTCATGTGTTCGCTCCGTGTACCCCTATTTTCCTAGATGGGGCTGTGGAGAAAGAGGAAAAGGGGGATCTGCAGGCACATTGAAAGAAGGTGGACGCACCGAACAGGATGGCATACCCGAAGGGGGAGGCAATATGGACGCAGAAAGGAGGAGGGGGCGAGGCAACGACTTCAAGGGCAACGGCGCAAAAAGAGGGTTGGACATTGTTGGGTTGGGCAGCTCCTGTCGAAGCGTTGCTAACCTCAAGATCTTGAGGAGAAGGAAGTGGCAACACACGGGAGAAAATGTGGATCGACACAGAGAAGAGGGGAGGGCCCTTGTGGCTGTCTAGCGTGCCCCCAGGATCGGCACGAGGTCTCAGAGCACCATGGGCCGAGGTGACCCAACGATGGCCCGACGATGACCTCAAGATGACCCAATGAAACCTGCAAGATGGCTGCAAACTGTTATCCAAGGAGCTGAACATATATGGCTCTTGTTGTTTTGAACCTTTTATTCGTTGGACGCTTTCCTGGTGCAGATCATCACTTGGTGCACGGCTTTTCTGTTCCCACAACAAATGGAACTGAAGGCTTCACAACGGATGACAACCACCACGCGTCTGAGCTCCGTGAGCCAACAGGTAAACTCGATGAAGACGACGGGGCGCGCTTTACCTGTCGTAACATCGCCTCTCGGTGCACGCTGCTCTGCGACTGACTCCACAGCTGGGCGCACCTCCGGTGCTGGCGCGGTCGCAGCGAGAGCACGGGCTTCGCCGCGGCCTCCCCCATGCGACTCTGCGCGCGGCGGAGAGGCTCGTCTGCGGGGCCACGGCGCAGCACCCCTGCTTGCAGCGCAGCCGGAGGCGTCACACCAGCCCGTGTCGGTCTGCATCCCCAGAGAATGCAGGACGGTCTGGACCGATCTCGCGTGCGCCCGCCGGGCTCGGGTTCGGCGCCCCGGCCGCGGCGCGGCGAGGCCTGGCTGGAGGGCACGCAGCGGCCAGCCATGGCGTCGGGGAGGGCACCGCGGGACAGGAGGGGCGAAGAGAGTGAGCAGCGGCCAGAGGCCGTCCTGGGGGCCTGGGGGCCTGACCTGGGCCAGAGCGGGGAGGAGGAGGAGGAGGAGGAGGATGAGGAGGAGGAGGAGGAGGAAGACTAGGAGGAGGAGAAGGAGGAGGAGGAGGAGGAGAATCACGGTGAGCAGATAGAGGCGGAGGGGGAAAAGAAGGAGGATGCGGAGGAGGGGAAGGAGAAGAAGAACGAGGAGGAAGAGGAATAACAAAAAAGAAGGAAGAGGAAGATGAAGAGCAGAAGGAGAAGGAGGAAGGAGGATAATAATGATGATGATGATGATGATGATGATGATGATGATGAGGAGGAGGAGGAGGAGGAGGAGGAGGAGGAGGAGGAGGAGGAGGAAGAGGAGGAAAAGGAGGAAGAGACACTTTCTGCGTGAGGCACTTTCGCCACGCCGCCCCGCGCGCGCCGCCACCCCTCAGGATCTCCAGTCCGGGCCGACGCGCCGAGGAACACTGGGCGCAGGCGCAGGCGCCTCATCCCTGTCCCACCCCGCTCCCCGCATCCCCTGGCGCTCAACGGCACGCACCCGATGCAAGACCCACCAGGCGAACCTGCGGCGCGAGCGCGGCGATGTCTTCCGCGCTCGCCCATGGCCCACCGTACCACGACGTTGCTCGGACACGCCTCGCGCAGGGGTGCCACCGACAGAGGTTGAATCCGAAATCGAAGCGACGTGGGAAAATTCTGCCTGTCAAACAAGAGCAAACTACACGTTCGCATTCCCTGAAAGACCGACTCCGGCTGTTCAACGAGATGGTCGCCCCCACGTCAATTTTTGGTCATGGCTCATGGTCCATGACATTTCCGCTAAAATTGCGGGTGCGATCCACGCAACGGCACATGCTCACGATGATTCTCGGGTGACAACGACGCCGCGTTCCAAAGACAGCGGGAGAAGACGAGCTCTCCGAATGCAGCGACGCCCCACAAGCACTAGTAGCACGATCACGGCATCGAGCTCGCGCACCCCCGCAGATCCGTTCAAACCCTGGGTCGATTGGATTAGGCGCACGACAAAATGTATTGAACATTCTTGCAACGGAATGGAATGCGCAAATTGGTGCCCGCAGCAACGGCGCTTACAATAGAGGCTGTTTGAATCGATGGTCCATGACGACGTGGGAAATCGAGCTGAAAGGATATTTTATGTGACCGAATTGCGGTCAACACACGCGCGTTTAAAAAATACCACAACGGCCCAACGAAAGATGGATCGATGACATAGCAAATTACCCACACGGCCTTTGAAGAGAAATGCCGAACAAATATTCCAGATACTGCCATGGGGTCACAAAACGGAAGACCAGTACGTGCAGCGGCAGCTTCAACGACAGGATGAATAAACCGGCCAGCCGAATATTCCGCTTCCACCGCCTTCCCGGCACGTGATCTGTTACACTTGTCGGCACCGCGGCGCCGCTGCCTAGCCCCATCTACATAGGGCCGTCCCGCGGAACCAATGGCGCAGTGTGTCCAATGTCCCTCTCCTTTTCCCCTTCCCCTTGCGCGGCGATTGCAATCTGTGGCGCGCCGACGCCCACCGACCTCTTCCAGCACTTCCACGCCCCAGCAGTGCTCCTCCAAACCGAACGCCCCACCTGCGCCGCCCGGCTGGCTCCCCCTCATCCTTCTCCTCCTCCTCCTCCTCGTCCTCCCCCTCCTCCTCCTCTTCCTCCTCCTCCTTCTCCTCGTCCTCCTCCTCCTCCTCCTTACGCCTACTGTGATGTCGTGGGGTGACGCGGATGGCGAGTGGGGCCCAGTCAGCTACACTGATGCGTCTTGCTTACACAACGGACATCCCACATTGTGCCGCGTGGGTTGGTCCGCAGTCCAGCTCAACCACACGACGGGCTGATCTATTAGAGCTCGGTATGATGGATTGCCAGGGGCCGATGAGAGTGCCCCACACGGGGAGAGAGACGAGCGGCTCAAGGTCCTAGAATGCATGCAGAGGCCAGGGCTTGTGGTGCCTGATCACAATGAGTTCTGGGGATGAAGCGACAAGATGGGATTCATATCTAGCCAGCACGTGGCAAGCATGCGGCCATATGGCGAGCCACGTTCCGCCTTTGTCGAGGAAGTAAAAAACGCTGCCGCTTCGAGCGGGATCCTGTTCGCAAAGATGTGCTGGACTTGAATCGAGGATGGAGGCAGTTTCGCCCACGCCGTGGGCAATGCTTGGGCAGATTTCATTGCATATAGTGGAACGATGTGAAAGTACGCTGGCAGACAACCACAAGAGCCTGCTGAAGCTCTCCGTGGAGACCGCCAGACTATTGGGATTCATAGTATCTCCTGAGGGCCTGCTGTGCAAAATGTACCAAGCTGTCGGAGAGTCTACGCCTGCGCCGCCGAACATAACCCCCAAGTCTGCCGGGAAGCTCTCTCTGACGGAACAGGGTTTTCTATGCCGTACATGGCGTGCTGGTGCGTTGTAGGCATTGCGGTGAGGAAGCTAGGACCCCTGTGCGGGCCCCCCAGACCTCGGTCAAGGCCGTCGTTTGGCTAGATGGGGCTCGGCTGGGATATGTGAAATATGTGGGCGCTACAACGTGCAGGTGCATACATCTGCTACAAAGCTCAAGGAAGACTGCCGTGAGCCGCCCTCGAATCGCAGCACGCTTGCGAATGTCAGATCTCATGTCAAGAGGCTGAGTGCTGGGCGTGACCCCAAGAGCGGGAAGCCGCTGCCGCCCTAGTTTCGAGGGGAGGCCGCTGTCGTGCCGAGCGCGGTGGTTGTCCTAGGCCGACCTTGGTCGTCGCTCGTGGTAGCCCCTGGAGCCTCGCCCTCTCTGTGGTGTTTTCCTCTCCAGGCTGACGCCCTGCCGCCCCCCATGTCTTCTGGATAGGGCCCTTCGGGTGGCCTGGTCTGCACATCTGTGCTCTGGATCGGCCTGAGGGCTGATCAGGCATGGGGCCTCAGGAGATCCCAGGGCCCCTCGCGTTCCTTCGGGCTCGGCTGAGGCAGCTGGACTTGGACCCTGCGCCTCCTGCTCCAGCTCCTCCCTCCCTTCTCCTCCTCCTCCTCCTCCTCCTCCTCCTTCTCCACCTCCTCCTCCTCCTCCTCCTCCTCCTCCGCCTCCTCCTCCTCCTCCGCCTCCTCCCCTCCTCCTCCTCCTCCTCCTCCTCCTCCTCCTCCCTCCTCCTCCTCCTCCGCCTCCTCCTCCTCCGCCTCCTCCTCCTCCGCCTCCTCCTCCTCATTCTCCTCCTCCGCCTCCCTCCTCCTCCTCCTCCTCCTCCTCCTTCTCCTCCTCCTCCTCCTCCTCCTCCTCCTCCTTCTCCACCTCCTCCTCCTCCTCCGCCTCCTCCTCCGGTCCTCCTCCTCCTCCTCCTCCTCCTCCTCCTCCTCCTCCTCCTCCTCCTCCTCCTCCTCCTCCTCCTCTTCTTATTACTATTACTATTATTATTATTATTATTATTATTATTATTATTATTATTATTATTATTATTATTATTATTATTATTATTATTAGTATTATTATTATTATTAGTAGTAGTATTATTATTATTAGTATTATTATTAGTAGTATTATTATTATTATTATTGTTGGTCTTCTTCTTATTATTATGATGGTTATTATTATTATGTTTGTTCGTCTTCTCCATATTATGATTGTTGTTATTAGTAATAGTATTATTTAAATTATTAATATTATTAGTAGTAGTAGTAGTAGTAGTAGTACTATTAATATTATTACTATTATTGTTATTATTATTATCCTCATTATTATTATTATATTAGTTTTGTTGTTATTATTAGTAGTATTATTATTATGATTAGTATGCTGAATATTATCATTATTATTAGTATTATTAGTACTATTATTATTGGTATTATTAATATTCTTATTAGTACTAGTATTAGTATTATTAGTATTATTATTAGTATTATTCATATTACTGTTCTTCTTCTTATTCTTATTATTATTATGATTAGCATTACTAGTATTATTATTGATATTATTATTACTACTACTATTATTAGTAGTAGTAGTAGTATTCTTAGAAGTATTAGTATTCTTAATATTATTATTAATAATAGTATTACTACTATCAGTACTAGTATTATTAGTATTATTAGTATTAGTAGCATTCGTATTAGTATTATGATTATTATTCTAATTCTCATAACTATTATTATAAGTCTTCTTCTGTTTAGTATAAATATTATTATTATTCGTTTTCTTATTCGTCTTCTTCTTATTCGTATTCTTCGTATTATTCTTCTTAGTAGTAGTACTCTTCTTCATAATAAGAATATTATTATTATGCTTATTCTTCTTCCTCCTCCTCCTCCTCCACCTCCTCCTCCTCCTCCTCTTCCTCCTCCTCCCCCCTCATCCTCCACCTCCTCCTCCACCTCCTCTTCCTCCTCCTCCTCCGCCTCCTCCGCCTCCGGTCCTCCTCCTCCTCCTCCTCCTCCTCCTCCTCCTCCTCCTCCTCCTCCTCTCCTCCTCCTCCTCCTCCTCCTCCTCCTCCTCCTCCTCCTCCTCCTCCTCCTCCTCCTGTTCATCCTACTCCTTCTCCTCCTCCTCCTCCTCCTCCTCCTCCTCCTCCTCGCCTTCCCTGCTATAGCGACGACGACCACGAAGACACCCAAGGCGACGACTGCGACTGTTTTGCGAGCGCGGATCCTCGCCGTGGCTGCCGTGCTCGGCGTGCTCGCCGCCCTCCTGGGCGCACGACTCGGAGGCACGGCTGCGGCAGGCAGCCGCACCAGGGCCCGGAAGCGGGAGGGGGAGGACGACCAAGACGACCACCTCGACGCCCCTTCCCTCCTCCTGGCCTAACTGGACCTCTCGCTGGGGAATTCTTTGGGCTGGTTCCACTGTGTTACGCTCGGGCGGGGGCGGACAGATTCCGCCCTCCGATGCAGCCTGCCTGATGAGGGGTTTGTTGGCCCCCACATCTCTGTCCTCACCTCAGGGCGGTCGGTCGTAGTGTCTATCGTCTATCAACCCCCTTCCCTCTCGGCGGGGCGTGGCTGTCCCCGGGGCCCTTGGTTTGCCCCTGGGGGGGCACGTTTCGTCCGCCCCCACGGACGCAACACACTGGCACCAAAGCGTGAGCGTGCGCACTCGTTATCCCCCCGTGGGGTACCGAGTGCGTAGGGCCTACTCAGTTCGGTGTCGATACTACGTATGCCGTTTTTTGTTTTGTCCCCTCCTTTCAGGAATTCCCGCCTCAGGACCAGGACGCATCACGGACGGCCAGACGATCCGGGACATCGGCCTCCCCTCCCTCCCCTCCTCTGGCGAGGACCATCAGAGGCCTCTGCCCCTCCGTTGGTGACCATCATAGGCGCCACCCCTCGGCAGCTACCATCATAGGCGCTGCCAGGGTCCCACTCCCATCAGTACGCCAATCCATGAAGCCGTCATTGGCGCTGGAGGGGGCCGAGGCTCTCCCTACGGTCCCTCGGCCAACGACGACGACCGTAGGGAGGAGTGTCAATATACCTCCATAACTCAGACCTTCAAGACCTTAGAGAGCCACTTACCACCATTCACTGTTTCCCTCCTCCCTTCCTCCCTCCTCCCTCCTCCCTCATCCCTCTTCCCTCCCTCCTCCCTCCTCCCTCCTCCCTCCTCCCTGCTCCCTCGTCCCTCCATCCCTCCTCCCTCCTCCCTCCGACTTCCTCCATCCTCCCTCCTCCCTCCTCCTACTCTTTTTCTTAAGATTAGTCTTGTTCAAAATATGTTTAAGATGGTTGTTATTATTACTATCGTCTATGTATTATTGCATTTATGCTTAGTACGGTTGGTTTGATTAGTAGTAGGTTTACTCGTCTTAATAGCGTTATCACACTTAGTAGCATTAACAACAGCTTAGTAGTAGCAGTATTCGTCGCCCTTCTAATTGGCATTATGAATAGTAATCGTCTTCTCTTGCATTGTTATCAAAATTAATCTAAATAGTATGTTTAATAATCACATGAGTCGCATTATTATTGCTCTGATGATTAATGCTATGATTCGTATTATTATTCCTCCTCCTCCTCCTCCTCCTCCTCCTCCTCCTCTCTCCTCCTCCTCCTCCTCCTCCTCCTCCTCCTCCTCCTCCTCCTCCTCCTCCTCCTCCTCCTCCCCCTCCTCCTCCTCCTCCTCCTCCCCCTCCTCCTCCCCCCCCTCCTCCTCCTCCCTCCTCCTCCTGCCCCTCCGCACGAGCAGTTCGTGCGGTGGGCCGTTGGAGGGCTCACCTAGTCAGACTCTTCGGCTCCAGAGGAGCCCCTTGCCGCACCGCTCACCCTGTTGCTCTTGGATCTGCCTGACAGTTCGCCTGGACCCCAGACCCCCCCGAGTTATGAAAAAATTACGACGGGAGGTTTTTCATAATCTTTGGCCTCTGGGGGCCCTTACCGGCCCTCGGGACCGTCAAAAAACGACTCAGGACGAAGAACCGGTCCCGGGGAAAGGGTCCAGACCGCTGGGGGTCGACGTCATGAAAAATTCATGACGTCGGGGGTCTGGGACAAAGGCTCCATCATATTCTGACATGTTCTCCTCTCTGCCATGTCTCCTCCCCCTCTTCCTCCGCGAAGAGCTGGGCGAGAGGAGGGGGGGGCATCCGCCCCCGTTCCTCCTCGGCCCTTCCCCCCATCCGCCCTCTTCCTCTACAATTACTCAATATGAATACTACTCTCCCTCTTCCCCTGATGACGTCTTGGGAGTGTTCCCCACCCTATTGTTTTTTACACAGGTTTCCCCCGAGTTAGGTTTTCGCTTGCATTTTACCTAAAAGCGAAGACTGATAGGCTTCTAGTAACGTCAAAAGAGAGCATCATGACTCCCCAGGGGGGTCTGGGCGCGATCCGGGGGAGGATGCCGGGGATTCCTGTTTACCAACAGTAATTCACTTCGTGGTCTTCGAGCTCCCAGAACTCCATTCCTGGGCATGATTTTAAATGACCGGAGCCAACTGTAGGCCACTTCGTGTTCTTCGAGTTCCCAGAACTCCGTTCCTGGGCATGATTTTGAATGCCCGGAGCCAACTGTAGGCCACTTCGTGGTCTTCGAGTTCCCAGAACTCCACTCCTGGGCATGATTTTGAATGCCCGGAGCCAACTGTAGGTCACTTCGTTTTCTTCGAGTTCCCAAAAAACTCCACTCCTGTGCCACATTTTGAATGCTGAGGCAGGCTGATGCTGAGGCTGAGGCAGGCTGAGGCTGAGGCCGAGGCAGGCTGAGGCTGAGGCCGAGGCTGAAGGCAGACTGAGGCTGAGGCTGAAGCAGGCTGAGGCTGAGGCTGAGGCAGGCTGAGGTTGAGGCAGGCTGAGGCTGAGGCCGAGGCTGAAGGCAGACTGAGGCTGAGGCTGAAGCAGGCTGAGGCTGAGGCTGAGGCAGGCTGAGGCTGAGGCTGAGGCAGGCTGATGCTGAGGCAGGCTGAGGCTGAGGCTGAGGCTGATGCAGGCTGAGGCTGAGGCAGGCTGAGGCTGAGGCCGAGGCTGAAGGCAGACTGAGGCTGAGGCTGAAGCAGGCTGAGGCTGAGGCTGAGGCAGGCTGAGGCTGAGGCTGAGGCAGGCTGATGCTGAGGCAGGCTGAGGCTGAGGCTGAGGCTGATGCAGGCTGAGGCTGAGGCAGGCTGAGGCTGAGGCCGAGGCTGAAGGCAGGCTGATGCTGAGGCTGAAGCAGGCTGAGGCTGAGGCTGAGGCAGGCTGAGGCTGAGGCTGAAGCTGAGCTGAGGCTGAGGCTGAGGCTGAGGCTGAGGCTGAGGCTGAGGCATGAAGGCCGAGGCTGAGGCTGAGGAGGCTGAGGCTGAGCAGAAGGAGGCTGAGGCAGGCTGAGGCTGAGGCTGAGCAGCTGAGGCTGAGGCTGAGGCTGAGGCTGAGGCTGAGGCTGAGGCTGAAGCAGACTGAGGCTGAGGCTGAGGCAGGCTGAGGCTGAGGCTGAAGCAGGCTGAGCTGAGGCAGGCTGAGGCTGAGGCTGAGGCTGATGCAGGCTGAGGCTGAGGCAGGCTGAGGCTGAGGCCGAGGCTGAAGGCAGACTGGGGCTGAGGCTGAAGCAGGCTGAGGCTGAGGCTGAGGCAGGCTGAGGCTGAGGCTGAGGCAGGCTGATGCTGAGGCAGGCTGAGGCTGAGGCTGAGGCTGCAGGCTGAGGCTGAGGCAGGCTGAGGCTGAGGCCGAGGCTGAAGGCAGACTGAGGCTGAGGCTGAGGCAGGCTGAGGCTGAGGCAGGCTGAGGCTGAGGCTGAGGCAGGCTGAGGCTGAGGCTGAGGCTGAGGCTGAAGGCTGAGGCAGACTGAGGCTGAGGCTGAGGCTGAGGCTGAGGCTGAGGCTGAGGCTGAGGCAGGCTGAGGCTGAGGCAGGCTGAGGCTGATGGCTGAGGAGGCTGAGGCTGAGGCAGACTGAGGCTGAGGCTGAGGCAGGCTGAGGCTGAGCAGGCTGAGGCTGAGGCTGAGGCAGGCTGAGGCTGAGGCTGAGGCTGAGGCAGGCTGAGGCTGAGGCTGAGGCCGAGGCTGGCCGAGTGGGGCTGAGGCTGAAGCAGGCTGAGGCTGAGGCTGAGGCATGCTGAGGCTGAGGCTGAGGCAGGCTGATGCTGAGGCAGGCTGAGGCTGAGGCTGTGACTGCGACTGCCCTTGCCACTGCGACTGTCATCGCGAATGCGACTGCGACTGCGAGAACAGCAGAATTCTAAAACCTGGACTCTCGTCTGAATCGTCAAGGGAGTGCTTCCAGATATGCTTCTACACATCGCTGTTAGGTAGCTTTGCCGGGATAATTGTTCCAAAAAAATGCTCTCGCTGAGGCGCCGGCCTCATTTTCGGGCCCCGCTCGTTCCGAATCGTGTTCCGCTGCAGCGCTGGCATCATGTCCGCCGGCGCTTGAGCTGCACGCCCGAACCGGCGCCGGGGCCGGCGCTCGGGCCGCCGAGTCCGGAGGTTCCGAGGCGGCGCCGAAAAAAGGCCATTCCAATACACATTTTTCTTTTGAAAATGCTCAATTTCTGCTTCCGGCGCCCGGGAGGCCTCCTGGGCTGATTCCGACGCCCGGGCCGGCGCCCGAGCCGGCGCCCGGGCCATACGCCCGAGCCGGCGCCCGGGCCGGCGCCCGGGCCGGGTCCGGAGCCGGTTCCGGCCGGCGCCGGAAAATCGAGTTCCGAGGCGGCGCCGAAAAAAGGCCATTCTAATACACATTTTTCTTTCGAAAATACTAAAGTTTTACTTCCGGCGCCCGGGGGGCCTCCCAGGCCGATTCCGACGCCCGGGCTGGCGCCCGAGCCGGCGCCCAGGCCAGATGCCCGAGCCGGCGCCCGGGCCGGCGCCCGGGCCGGGTCCGGAGCCGATTCCGGCCGGCGCCGGAAAATCGAGTTCCGAGGCGGCGCCGAAAAAAGGCCATTCCAATACACATGTTTCTTTTGAAAATGCTGAATCCCACCAGCCCTCTGGGCGTAGGTGGTTTAGGGAGTTTCCTCTTCCATCTTCCCTCATTCCCCTTCGGGGAAAGGTTTACCCCTCCCCCTAACCCCCTCCTCTGGACCTGGACGGGGGGTTTCGCTGGTAGTTGGAGCGTCCAAAACGGCCTCGGCGAAGAAGCCAAAATCATCGGTTTTACCAGGGTTTTGGCCGATTTTAAAGGCTCCCGAGGGGGGCGGTTAATTGGGGGACCCCCTTCCTTTGATCGATCACCTCCAAGATGGCCCCAAGAGCGTTCCCAAGGCTCCCAAGAGCGCCCCAAGAGGGCCTCAAGAGGCGCCCAGGAGGCCCCAAGAGGCCCCCAAGAGGCCCTGAAGAGGCTCCCTAGACCCCCGAGAGGCCTCAACAGGATCCCCGAGGCATCCAAGAATCCCCCAGGCGCTCCAAGAGGACTCCAAAACAACTTCCAAGGGACATCCTACGAGGCTCTTGTGCACGTCATTGTTCTTGTTCCTTCTCATCTTTGTCATCCTCCTCCTCCTCCTCATCCTCCTCCTCCTCCTCCTCCTCCTCATCCTCCTCCTCCTCCTCCTCCTCCTCCTCCTCCTCCTCCTCCTCCTCCTCCTCCTCTCCTCATCCTGCGGCTACTGCTGCTCTTTCCTCTACTCATCCTCCTTCCTCCACCTCCTTCCTCTTCTCTTCCTCCCCTCCACATCATTCCTCCTCCTACCCCCTCCTCCTCATCATCCTCCTATTCCTTCCTCCTCCCATCCTCCCCCTCCACTTTCTAACCACCTGCAGCCCCTCCTCCCCCTCAACCCCCTCCTCCTCCTCCTCTCCTCCTCCTCCTCCTCCTTCCTCCTCCTCCTCCTCCTCCTCCTCCTCCTCCACCTCCTCCTCCACCTCCTCCTCCACCTCCTCCTCCTCCTCCTCCCCCCACCTCCTCCTCCTCCTCCACCTCCTCCTCCTCCTCCTCCTCCTCCTCCTCCTCCGACTCCGACTCCGACTCCTCCTCCGACTCCTCCTCCTCCTCCTCCATCCTGGCCCTCTTGGGTAAGACGGGTCCCCCAGCCCTTTGCTACTCCGTATGCTCCCTCACTTCCCTGATCACCGCAATTCGCCTGGGCATCGTTTTTGGATGGGCTGGTGGGGATACTTTTTTGTTCGGCGGCCCGCAACGAAAAGTCCAGAGGGCGAGTCAATCAGGCAAGCTGGGGAACAGTGCCAGATGATTAAGCTGCCAAGCAGCAGGAGGCGCAGGCCAGAACGAGACCGGCCAGAGTGCACATGCAGAAGACCACTGAGCGAATGCCCGCGGAAGCCAACGAGGAGACGCCCTGACGGCGCCAGCTCGCAAGCGGAACTGCCACAAACTGTCGGCAGACTGCGCACAGGGCCAGTACCCAGCAGGTGGGGATACCTGACCAGCGGCCCGCAAGGAAAAGCCCAGAAGGCGAGACAATTGAGCAAACAGGAGCCAGAGTCAGATAATTAATGCCGAGCAGCGGGAGGCGCAGGCCGGAGCCTCGAGGCCCGACTGCTGGAACTCGCGCCGAGCTGTCCGGCCGAGTGCACATGCAAAGAAGCACTGAGCGATTGCCGACGGAAGCCAACGAGGAGTCGCCCTGACGGCGCCAGCTCGCAGGCGAAACCGCCACTGACGCCGCACACAGGGCCAGTACCCCTGCAGCCTCTAGGGAAGTAGCGCGGGAAGCAGCGAGAGGGCAAGACAGGAAAAAGAGCACAGAAGGCAGAGCGGCGAGGCGGACTCATTCACAGAGCACCCTGTGCTCGTCGGTGGCCCTCCAAGGCCCACCCCACGGAGAACAGACGACACCTCCCAAGCGTCGGCGGGGCCAACGACCTGGAAATGACGAATGAAGAAAAACTGTTGTTGAGCACCACATCCCAAGCCGCACTTCGAGTAACGAAGCCACTGATACCACTGTGGCGCGTGGCGCCGTCGATGGGGGAAGCCACGTGGGGTTGGTGGGGATACGCGAAGCGTCAAGAATTTCTGCTTCTGGCGCCCGGGAAGCCTCCCGGGCCGATTCTGGCGTGCTTCCACTCGTTCCGAGTCGTGCTCCCGCTGCAGCGCTGGCCTCATTTCCGCGTTTCTGTTCGTTTCGACGCGTGCTCCCGCTGCAGCGCTGGCGTCATTTCCCGTGCCATGCCACGGCATGCAATGCCATGCTAGGTTGATACTACGCTTCGCGGTGCTCTTCTACGCCATACCATGCCGTGCTCTACAATGCATCGCGTACCCTTTCGGGATCATTGCCCTGCTCGACATCCGACTGTGCGAGTAGAGAGGGGATCTGCGCCGTGGTAAGGGATGGGAGGGAGGGGTAGGATGTCAGATATGACGCGAGTGCACCTAGCTTGCCCTCCTCCCCCTCCGCCGTTGGCTCCTCCTCCTCCTCCTCCTCCTCCTCCTCCTCCTCCTCCTCCTCCTCTTCCTCCTCCTCCTCCTCCTCCTCCTCCTCTTCCTCCTCCTCCTTCGCCTCCCCCTCGTCTCCCTTCTCATCGTCCTCCTCTTCCTCCACGCCCAATCATTTCCGAAGTCTGCTCAACCTTCAGATCTGCGAGTTGCACTCGCTACCAGCATCATCGTCAACAAGCTCATCACAATCATCATCATCATCATCATCATCATCGTCATCATCATCATCATCATCATCATCATCATCATCATCATCATCATCATCATCATCATCATCATCATCATCATCGTCATCATCATCATCATCATCATCAGCAGCAGCAGCATCATCGACAGCATCAGCATCAGCAGCAGCATCATCATCATCATCAGCAGCAGCATCATCAGCATCATCATCATCATCAGCAGCAGCAGCATCTGCATCAACATCATAATGAGCATCGTCATCATCAGCAGCATCATCATCAGCATCATCAGCATCGTCATCGTCATCGTCATCATCATCAGCATCATCATCATCAGGATCACCATCATCATCAGCAGCATCATCATCAGCAGCATCAGCGTCAGCATCAGCACCATCATCATTATCATCGTCATCATCAGCAGCATCAGCATCATCATCATCAGTATCACCATCATCAGCAACATCATCATAATAATCGGCATCACCATCATTAGCATCATCAGCATCAGCATCATCATCAGCAGCATCATCAGCACCATCGCCATCATCATCGTCCTTATCAGTATCATTACCATCATCATCAGCAGCAGCATCGTCATCATAATCATCATCAGCATCAGCATCATCGTCGTCATCGGCATCCTCAGCATCATCATCATCACCATCATCTGCAGCTCAGCAGCAGCATCACCATCATCATCAGAAACATCACCATCAGCATCGTCATGGTAAGCAGCATCATCATCATCAGCAGCAGTATTATCAGCATCAACATCATTAGCAACGTCATTAACATGAGTATCGTCATCATCATCATCATAATCAGCATCAGTATCATCAGAATCATCAGCATCATCATCATCATCATCATCATCATCATCATCATCATCAGCATCATCATCATCATACGCATCGGCATTGCCATCAGCATCACCAACGACATCATCGTCACCACCACCACAATCAGCATCACCATCATCATGACCACCATCACCTGTGCGCACCACACAACGATCATGACCGCCAGGCGGCCAGGGCAACCAGACCCTGCCAGGACAACAACGGTGCGCGAGCGGCACATGCGTACGCAACAGCATAACAAATCCAGTACATGCCAACAGAAGGCCGCGAGCACCGCAACGTCCGGGCGCACGGGCAACAAACGAGTGAACACCACAGTAGCCTGCGAGCAGCAGCAGCCTGTGAACAGCACGAGAGCAGGCGAGCACCACAGCAGCCTGCGAACACAGCGCAGGCGTTGCGACCGCTCCTTGCTGCGAGGCCGCGGCGCACGCGCGCGCTGCAGCAGCCAGGTGCGCACTGCAGGAGGGGGGGGAAGGGGAGGGGAAGGGGGGGGGGGGGGACGCAGAAGGGAGGGGCGGGGGGGGGGGGCCCTGTACTCGGGGGGGGGGGGGAGGGGGGAGGGGTAGGGGGACACAAGTCTGTGATGGCGCCCACGTTCTGCGCCGCTGGAAAGGGAGGCAGGAGGGCGGGGAGAAGGGGGAGGGGCGGGGGGGAGGAAGCCAGGCTGAGGCCAGGGGGCGAGGGGCGCCCACGCGGCCTGCACCACACGCCGACTGCCGCCAACTGCGCCATCGCCGTCCCCCGTTTGGCCGAACTGGGCCTGGGGCCGGCGGGAGACGGCCCCAGGGCCAGTTCCCCTTCCCCTCCTCTTCCTCCTCCTCCTCCTTCCTTCCTCCTCCTCCTCTCCTCCTCTCCTCCCTCCTCCCTCCCTCCCTCCCTCCCCCTCCCTCCCTCCCTTCCCTCCCTCCTCCTCTCCCTCCCTGGGCCTTCCCTGGGGCCGTCGGGAGACGGCCCAGGGATGACACAGAATCGGAACCGCGCCCGGGGAAAAGGCCCCGACCGGACGCGGCAGAGAGGCAAGTGGCAGGCGCCGCCTCGCTCCCGCCGCCCTCGGACTCCGAGCCCTCCTCGTCCTGAGGGCGGCGCGCGCAGCTCGCGCCCGAGGATCGGGCTCGCTGGCTCCGAGGCAGAGGAGCCAGAGACGGAAGAGAGGGAGGAACACAGGAGGAGATGGAGGAGGAGGAGGAGGAGGAGGGAGGAGAAGGAGGAGAGGGAGGAGGAGGAGGACGAGGAGGAAGAGGAGGAGGAGGGAGGAGGAGGAGGACGAGGAGGAGGAGGAGGAGGAGGAGGAGGAGCTGATGAGCATCAGCATCGCCATTGCTATTGGCTTGATCCTGGCGGACGCGGCG